CCTATCTCCATCCTCCCAATGTATGTGTCCTTCACATTAACCCCTTCACATCCTCCCTCTGTGGGAGGGAGCTCAGGGACATAACTTACCTCCAGATAGGTGTGTCCCATGTTCTGGTGGCTGCTGATTATTGCAGAAATCCTCCTACAAGTGCCACCCAATACCCCTTCCAGTGTGAAATAGTCTGCAAACGTTGTGCCGCTCACCCACCCCTTCCTCCTCTCTCCTCTATTTATAGTTGTACGTTTTTTCCCACAATGCAAAGTGACTTGTGATTGGAGGATAGGTGGATAATTGACAGGATGCCTCCTCCAATCACAGATTGCTTTGCAAAAAATGAGATAACCTGGGACTGTCTACTTTCCAAAAAAGGAAATTAATGGGGGTGTTTGCACTGCCCTGGTATTTTTATTTTATTTTAATCTTTTTTATCTTTATATAGCAAAATATAGAAAAAAAAAAGTGGTTATTAAATACTACCAAAAGGAAGCTCTATCTGTTTAAAAAAAGATTTAATTTTCATTTCAATACAGCATTGCATGACGGAGTAATGCCTCCTGTACACGGTGTTCAAAGCTGTAGCTGGGGGTTCTTGTGGATTCTTGCAGAATGAATCTCATGTGTGTCTGTACAGATGCAGCTGCTGCCCCCTTTCTAGTTAATGGCAGGGTGACAGCAGCTGCATCTGTCAGCAGTAGTCCGCATGCAATCGTACATGGAATGATTACCTGCAGATCAAGAGAGATAGGTAATCCTCAGGTAATCGTTCCATGATATGATTTACTTGTGGATTGCCTCTGACAGATGCGGCCACTGTCACCCTGTCATTAACTGAAATGGGCACAGCGGCAGCATCTGTATGGACTCCACAGGTTCTTGCTGCAGGAATCCCCAGTTGCAGCTTTGAAAGCCGTGTGCATAATGCCTAAATGTAAAACTGAAAATGTCCTGGAAATGAAGGGGTGATACAGCCTGGTTCCTTCACATTAACCCCTTCACATCCTCCCTCTGTGGGAGGGAGCTCAGGGACATAACTTACCTCCAGATAGGTGTGTCCCATGTTCTGGTGGCTGCTGATTATTGCAGAAATCCTCCTACAAGTGCCACCCAATACCCCTTCCAGTGTGAAATAGTCTGCAAACGTTGTGCCGCTCACCCACCCCTTCCTCCTCTCTCCTCTATTTATAGTTGTACGTTTTTTCCCACAATGCAAAGTGACTTGTGATTGGAGGATAGGTGGATAATTGACAGGATGCCTCCTCCAATCACAGATTGCTTTGCAAAAAATGAGATCACCTTGGACTGTCTACTTTCCAAAAAAGGAAATTAATGGGGGTGTTTGCACTGCCCTGGTATTTTTATTTTATTTTAATCTTTTTTATCTTTATATAGCAAAATATAGAAAAAAAAAAGTGGTTATTAAATACTACCAAAAGGAAGCTCTATCTGTTTAAAAAAAGATTTAATTTTCATTTCAATACAGCATTGCATGACGGAGTAATGCCTCCTGTACACGGTGTTCAAAGCTGTAGCTGGGGGTTCTTGTGGATTCTTGCAGAATGAATCTCATGTGTGTCTGTACAGATGCAGCTGCTGCCCCCTTTCTAGTTAATGGCAGGGTGACAGCAGCTGCATCTGTCAGCAGTAGTCCGCATGCAATCGTACATGGAATGATTACCTGCAGATCAAGAGAGATAGGTAATCCTCAGGTAATCGTTCCATGATATGATTTACTTGTGGATTGCCTCTGACAGATGCGGCCACTGTCACCCTGTCATTAACTGAAATGGGCACAGCGGCAGCATCTGTATGGACTCCACAGGTTCTTGCTGCAGGAATCCCCAGTTGCAGCTTTGAAAGCCGTGTGCATAATGCCTAAATGTAAAACTGAAAATGTCCTGGAAATGAAGGGGTGATACAGCCTGGTACTAAGTGGTTAGAGAAGAACTCCAGGGGGCTCAAATAAAGCAGATTTACACACCTGAACCTCATCCTGCCAGGCTCCTAGACTGGTCTCCCCTGGGCTCTGGCGGTGTAAGGACCACTAACAATATCACGTCTTAAGCAGATCAATTGACTTGCATTAGATGTGAGGACGCCAAGGGACATTCCACAGCTGGAGTGGAAGGAGATAGGGGTGAGCGATGACTGCTGCAGGCCCAAGGGTCAGGTGAGTATATCTGATTTATTGTATCCCCCTAGTCAAAATGAGCACTTAAAGGGAGTCGGCTCTATAGATGTACAGTGCAGGGCCGTCTTTAACGCAGTGCAAAAGGGGCAGTCGGCCAGGGCCCAATCATTGTTTAAGAAATTGTTTGCCCAGGGTCCAATCAGTATTAAAGACTGCCCTGTTACAGTGTAATATTCCCCATTATAATCCACTTGTCTAATTACATGAAATAGCAGTACACAACCCTAAAACCCACCCGCTGCTCGGACTCACCCAGCATGAGAATCGCAGAAGCCAGGGAGTGTCGATGTGTGCACTGCAGGGGGCGGGGCGTGTGGCACACCTCCCCTCCCGCCGCCTGTTACTAAGGACGCGGCCGGGAGGGGAAGTGAGTCACAGGGCACACCCCCTCACTGAGAAGCCCGTCTGCAGTGTGGGGCTGTTCTAACACCGGGCCCCTGCACTGCCCCATATTGCAGGACCGGCCCCCACTGAGGCGGTGGGGGTGCCCAGAACCAGATTCCACGGGGCCCCCCCACAGCCTCGGGCCCCGGTGCGGCCGCACCAGCTGCACCGGCGGTAGTTCCTCCCCTGCTCCATCCCCTCTATGCTCCTCAAACACTCATTGGAGGGTCGGACAGGGGAGGAGGCGGGCGCAGCTAGCTTTGGCTCTAGACAGGCAGAGCCAGTCCCTGCGCTAAATGCTGACTTTGGGTCTCCGGAGTACATTAGTAAATTTACTCCTTTTACCCAAAAGTGGACTAAAGCCAAAACATTTTTTTGTGTTTGTGCTCTTTTAACCCTTGCTGTGCGGGGACATTCCACTGCAATGGGTTTTGTTTAATTCCCGGAGTCCTTTAATCAATCTCTTTTCTTTCTTCTGATTTCGGGCGACAGCCTGCTAATAAGAAAGTGTCCTCCAGGTGGCAGTGTTCCACGGCAGTGCCAATGGAAGCAGGTGACAGGTAAGGATCAGACAGGTGTGGAGCTCACAAATGGTTTAGGAAGGTGTTCCAACTGCCAGCTGCTCCCATCCCTTCTTCCTGCTCTCCTGGCCCGTCACCCTATGCAAATAGATGCTTTGCATGGGCTGCCAGCCAAGGGCGCAGGATGTTGCCTTGTACAGGAGAGGTGTGGTGGTTTCTCTAAGCTGAAATTCTGTGTGCCATCCTAGTGCCAGCATCTGCCCCCCTGCCATCCAGCACCTCCATGCCGTCCACAGCACAGAGCCCTCAGCAGGATGGTCAATGTGGACTATTGTCACCCAGGTATGCTGCATTGTCAGAGCAGTGATTGTACTGCTGGGATCCTGCCATCATTCGGATGTCATGTGTGAACTCGTCTCTGATGTGACAGGCTCACATTTAAACTTGTGCTGGGTAAAGGAAAGTCAGATCACCTGGTGGCATGAAGCATCTCCATCATTGTCCATTGCAGACATAACTATTATCTGTCCAGGCAATGTGATCAAGACCCAAAATAGCATCACTTTGTAACTATGTCTAAACTTACTGCTTACTGTAGTAATGTAGTTTCTTAAAGTAGATCTAAACCCTCACTGGGTGACATTTGGTTTGCTAAGCCACTGAATATCATAAACAACTGTTATGGGTTTTTTTGTTTTTTTTTAGAAGATACTGTTTTCACCATGTTTGTCATCTTAGTGCTGCTGATCTACTGTAGCCTCTTTGCAGCCACTTCCTATCTTCATGCATTGGATCCAGTGGAGCTTGCTTAGTATTGCTCTGGCTGGGCTTCCTCATGGTGGGAATGGCAGAACATGCCTGCACATTGTGCATTGGTAAAGTCATTGATAGTCCCCACTATGTAACAATGTGACAGAGACAGGGATAGAGTGTTGTCACTCCTTAACAGGAAGTGCCAGATGAAGGCAGGATCACCAAGTATTGCATTAAGGAAACCTGCAAATTTTAGATTCTACTTCTGAAATGATATTGATGTGATACAGATTGAGAGTTTACTGATTGGCTGGAGATCTATGTTAACATTTGCAAATTCCAGGTTTGTATTTTTTTAACAATCAGAATAAGTGACAACTTTAATGGCGTCATAATAATATAGCTGATTTTTCTTTCTGTGGTATTAATGATGATTGTTTATGCAGATGTATGTATAATACACATATCAATGTGCAGGCATGTGAATATTAGATCAATGTATTTGTATATTTGTCATGATATGGAGCATGATTTGGAATCCAGGGTAAGGTACCTGTGTGGTTTAGAAGTTTATTTCTCAGCTTCATGTACACAATTATTGCAGCATCTATGTGCAAACTGTCCTCTGGTGTGTTATTTTATCTCAAGGACCCCCTAAGCAGCCTTTCTTAACCAGGGTTCCAGAGAACTCTGGGGTTCCTTCCTCCTACAAGTTGCTAGGGGTTACTTGAGCAGTATCTGCCTCTCACATAAGTAGCCTCTGACACCAATGATCTTTTCAGCTGTCTGTAAGAAGGACATTCTTCCAAATGTCCACCAATGTAAGGCGCATTTTAACCACTGACCACCACTGAAATAGAACTCAGGGGCGTCTCCATAATGAGACAGCCTGAGGTGGCATCTCATGGGGGGGGGGGGGGGGCGAACAAGACTTTTTTTGAGGGGGGGGGGGGGGACAGCAGAATAGTCAACTAACAGTCCCCCGGTTGATGGCTATGATACCCACTGCCTCCCCCACAGCTGTCATCTCGGCTCCTCGCCGCCTCCCGCCTGGCTGACAGCTCAGCCGAAATTCGCCTTCAGCCCGGACTGCATTAACCCACCGTTGCCCCCATCTAGCCGCCTCAGGTGGCAAATAAGGTAGGGACGGCCCTGATGGAGCCCCCATCTCACTGACTCTTCCAATGACTTCCAATGTATGGGGGTCCTTCTCCCAATGATCACCAGTCTAAGAAGATCCTTATCTTCTGACCACCAATGTACGAAGGAATTTTACTAATCACCTATGTGAGGGAGCATTTCACTGATCACCAACGTAAAGGAACATTTCACTGACCACCAATGTAAGGGAGCATTTCACTGACCACATATGTAAGGGAGCATTTTACTGACCACTAATGTAAGGGAGCATTTTACTGACCACATATGTAAGGGAGCATTTTACTGACCACTAATGTAAGGGAGCATTTTACTAACCACCAATGTAAGGGTGCCTTTCACAGACCACCTATGTAAGGGTGCCTTTCACAACCACCAATGTAAGTGTGCCTTTCACAGACCACCTATGTAAGGGTGCCTTTCACAGACCACCAATGTAAGGGTGCCTTTCACAGACCACCGATGTAGTCGTAGACACTATACTGACCAGAAATGTAGGGGGCACTTTTACATTGACTATCTGAGTCAGCAAGCATTTCTCTTGTGAACAAACACTACATTATTACCCCATCTAAGTGCTTTCTAAGCAATCCCTAACATCTTTATATTAGCTGAGTATAATTATTCTTGTTTATTTGGTAGAAGATTATTTCAGAAAATAGAAAGCTTGAGTTCATTTTGTCAGGCAGGAGAAGGCGTAGAATCTTTCAGAAGCAGAGTACACTATATAGAAGGTATGTGTGTATTCTGCTGTAGAGTTGAAATAGTCTGTAATGTGGGAGTTACATAATATATCACAATAGATCTTCATTAACTAAACATAATTATTACACGATCTTACAGGATGCTGGTTCGGTGTAAGCTCCAATTATTTTGTTGTTTGGATGAAAAGATTCTGTTTTTCACAATTCCTTTTTGTAAATAGTTTTCTCTGGGGCAATGATCAATTTTAGAATATGGGCCGATATCTGCAACCGGTGATATAGAATTTTGGATCAATTGTGCACCTGCGCTACTGTGTTACTGCAGCTGACTCTTGTGTGTTCATCACATTGGCAAAAACTGGCCTTTCAATAGCCAGTAAAAATGTAAAGGCAGCAAGAGAACCTCTTCTCAGTTGTTTAGATTGAAAAGTTGCTCCAGTTGCTGGAGTCTGCTGGATTTCCTAATGAAAAGAACTGAGACTACAGATAAAGTAGAATAGTGCGGGATGGTGCTGGAGCTCACAACAGTGGAGCCAAGATCACCAAGGTCAGGGCTGTTTACCATGAGCTCTGAAGTTGATATCATCCTGATGGCTGAGATATACTCACCCGAACCATGATCCTGGCTGGCTCCTAGACCGGTCCCTGCAGCTTTGCTGCCCTTCCCCTCCAGCGATGGAATGTCTCTTAGCGTCCTCATGTCCTATACACTGTGGGGACTGGTCTAGCAACCAGCTGGGATCGTGGTTCAGGTAAGTATATCTTTGTTTTTTTAGCTCCTTATACAAAATGAGCACTTAACCCTTACAGTGCGGCTTAACCCACTGCAAGGGCTCAGGATTAATTTGCCCGGAGTTCTTGTTTAAATAAAAGTTCCAGGCGAATACAAAACTATGAGCTAGTCATAAATGAATATTAGGGATGCACAGATACTTTTCGAGTACCAGTGCAGATACTTGGCATTTTCATGAGAACTACCAGGGGTGCAGCGGTTGCAGCTGGGACCTGGCTCTGGCACTCCGTCACTGTCCTGAAATCATTAGTCTGTATTGTTTTAGAAAAACTGTCACATGACAATAAACAAAAATGTATCAGTACTCGTACTTGTAAGTACTCGGCAAGTACCAGTACTCGTACTCGCAAAACTGGTATCTGTGCATCCCTTTATTTATATTAATAAAAACAAAATCGTACATTAAAACAGAGATGCACAAATCCCAGGAGCTCCGTGTGCTCCTTACAAATGACAGCTGCCTCCTAACTTTTGAATTTGTCTCTAGTGTAGTCTTGGAGCGCAAAGTATCGGTATATGTACTCGTACTTGTACCGAGTACTATACTTGGTATCTGTGCAACCCTAATGAATATGCGTGATCCTAGGAACAATGTCATATTTGGTCATTTAAATTTGTGGACACAGTGAGTGGAATTTATCTAAATCAACAGGTAGAATCTGGAGCAGTTGCTCATAGTAACCAATCAGCTTCTCTCTTCAGTTTGTTCAGTGAAGCTTTGAAAATGAAAGATAAAAGCTGATTGGTTACTTTGGCCGATTGCTACAAATTCTTTATGCTCCAGGTTAGATAAACTCCCCCCAATGTCTGCCCACCCTCTTTTTATCGTATGGTTGTCAGATCATGTCTACAATTTGCTGTCAGAAATTGAAATGCTTCAAGTTAACACATTTACAACAACACTGGACATTTTCTGTCAAACAGTTTAGTAAACTCTGTGCTTAATCTGGCCGTAGACATGAGGAAATGGTAAGCACAAGGATGGGAATTTATCAAAACTGGAGCAGACAAAATCTAGAGCAGTTGCTCAGGGCAACCAATCAGTTTCTCTCTTCAGTTTGTTCAGTTAAGCTTTGAAAATGAAACAGAGAAGCTTATTGGTTGCCGTGCATAAATTGATAAATTCCCCTCAAGGTAGCTTTCCCCAACTCCGGCCACACTGGTTGGTTCTGGCTTCCTGACACTTAGGCTAGACACCGACAGATACATGTGGTAAAAAGGTGACAGAAATAGTTTAAAAGCATATTCCAGGTTAAAGAGGAGTGAACATTTCATGTGAACTTGTGTTTACTCTTAGCATCATCTGATAGAACTGACAAAATAAAAGATATATTTATTTAATAAAGTGAGCTGAAAGTAGAAATGCTGCTCATAGCAAACACTCAACTTCAAACTTTCATTCTCTATGAGGATGCTAAACGGTATTTGGTTGGTATGGGCAACGATTCCACTTTAGCTCCAGTTTTCCTAAAGCATTCGTTTACGAAAAATCCTGTGCAAAACATTGTATTAATGTGATCACAGAGATAATGGTGGTTATTAAATATTCAGCTGTTTAGTACTAGAAATGAAAGAAGTACTAATATACTTAGGGGCTGATTTATAAAGCGCTCATACAATGTATTGCTTACAAGCCCCTTATGTGAAGTCAAAAGGATTTTAAGCTATTTCAAATGCTGACAGAATCACTAACAATGGATGCTGCTCCTTGATGTTTAAAAATATTAATTTCCTGCAGAATCAGCTGATCCCCTGAGCACTGGTCTTGACTTCCTGTTTTAGAGTGACTCCTTTCTCAAGCAGAGTGCTATGCAGTCACCCTTGTGTGTGCTAGTAAGCTGTGTGTGTTTCCACAAACACACAGACACAGCAAATCAAGATATTCCCCTCCCCATGGCCCCCTCTCCCCCCTTCTCCAAGCTAGTAGATGAACA